CAGAGCTTTAAAAACTCCTACAGCTTGTGTTATTGCTCTGGACCGATCTGAATTACCTGATAAAGGTTGTTTAAATGCTGCTGTTATCGGTCTTTGCAACAAGCTGCTTTTCTTGCTTGTAGAAGAGACGTTCACGTTCGGCTGATGTCGTTTCAAGAGCCTTAACAAGCTGCTGCAGATCCAATCGCCGTGAAACAACGTCGACACACAGCTTTGGATTTGTTCACTTGTCTTTTAACAAGAAAACCATCATGTTCCCAAACAGGAGACCGCAACGAGATGCTAGGCTGCTAATGCTAGCGTGCTGCAATAGCGCCGTGCTGAAACACACTTAGGAATTTTAGTTCCGTGGCGCATAATCTCTCGTTAATAAAATTTAATGAATGAAAAATAACCGAAACGGTACACACGTGGACTGAACCGAACGTGCTGTACCGAAACGGTTCGGTACACCCACGTGTACCGTTACACCCCTAGTTGTCAGTTATAATTATCATCAATTAAAAAAACAAAAAAACATTTGAAATATACAAATAATATACAGTTTGTGTGTAATGAATGAATATAATATACAAGTTTCACTTTTTGGATGGAATTACTGAAATAAATCAACTTTTTCATGATATTCTAATTTTATGACCAGCACCTGCCACCTGAATATTTTAGATAGATTGAATAACTGACCAGTAATTAAAAAAAGCCATCAGCCATGTCTGAACATTGTTAATTAATTACCAAGTGGGAAGACAATACATACAGTGAGGAAAATAAGTATTTGAACACCCTGTAACTTTGCAAGTTCTCCCACTTAGAAATTATGGAGGTGTCTGAAATTGTCATCTTAGGTGCATGTCCACTGTGAGAGACATTATCTAAAAAATAAAATCCAGAAATCACAATGTATGATTTTTTAAAAATAATTTAACTGTGTGTTACTGCTGCAAATAATTATTTGAACACCTGCCAATCAGCAACAATTCTGGTCCTCAAAGACCTGTTAGCCCACCTCTACAAAGTCCACCTCCACTCCACTTATTCTAAATTAGAAGCACCTGTTTGAGGTCGGTAGCTGCATAAAGACACCTGTCCACCCCACACAATCAGTAAGACTCCAACTACTAACATGGCTAAGACCAAAGAGTTGTCCAAAGACACTGGAGACAAAATTGTAGACCTCCACAAGGCTGGAAAGGGCTACAGGGCAATTGCCAAGCAGCTTGGTGAAAAAAGATCAACTGTTGGAGCCATTATTAGAAAATGGAAGAAGCTAAACATGACTGTCAATCTCCCTCGGACTGGGGCTCCATGCGAGATATCACCTCGTGGCGTATCAGTGATCCTAAGAAATGTGAGGAATCAGCCCAGAACTACACGGGAGGAGCTGGTCAATGACCTGAAGAGAGCTGGCACCACTGTTTCTAAGGTTACTGTGGGTAATACACTAAGATGTCATAGTTGAAAATAATGCATGGCACGGAAGGTTCCCCTGCTTAAACCAGAACACGTCCAGGCCCGTCTTAAGTTTGCCCATGACCTTTTGGATGATCCAGAGGAGTCATGGGAGAAAGTTCTGTGGTCAAATGAGACCAAAATAAAACTTTATGGTCTTAATTCCACTCGCCATGTTTGGAGGACGAAGAATGATGAGTACCATCCCAAAACACCATCCCCACTGTGAAGCATGGGGGTGGAAGCATCATGCTTTGGGGGTGTTTTTCTGCACATGGGACAGGACAACTGCACTGTATTAAGGAGAGGATGACGGGGGCCATGTAGTGAGAGATTTTGGGGAACAACCTCCTTCCGTCAGTTAGAGCATTGAAGATGGGTCGTGTCTTCCAACATGACAATGACCCAAAGCACACAGCCAGGAGAACCAAGGAGTGACTCTGTAAGAAGAATGTCAAGGTTCTGGAGTGGCCTAGTCAGTCTCCAGACCTAAACCCTGTAGAAAATCTTTGGAGGGAGCTCAAACGCCGTGTTTCTCAGTGACAGCCCAGAAACCTGGCTGATCTAGAGAAGATCTGTGTGGAAGAATGGAACAAAATCTCTGCTGCAGTGTGTGCAGACCTGGTGAAAAACTACAGGAAACCGAACTCTGTTATTGCAAACAAAGGCTACTGTACTAAATATTAACGTTGATTTTCACAGGTGTTCAAATACTTATTTGCAGCAGTAACAACCAAATACATTATTAAAAAAATCATACATTGTTATTTCCGTATTTTTTTTTTTAGATTATGTCTCTCTCAGTGGACATGCACCTAAGATGAAAATTTCAGACCCCTCCATGATTTCTAAGTGGGAGAACTTGCAAAGTTGCAGGGTGTTCAAACACATATTTTCCTCAAGAAAAGATCAATATACAATCAGCTCACTGTACAGCCATCAGCTGCTGTAGTTTTAAAAGATCTGCATCAGTCATAGAAAAACTTACAGGTCACCTTCAACTACAAATTATATTTGAGTCTAAATCTTCAATCAATATCACAAGTCAAAATCTGTTTGAAGTGGCATCCAGTGGTGGGCACAACTAAACAAAACTTTAGCTTTGCTATCCATATTCCGCTAACTAAAAAAATTAGTTGTGTTAACGCTAAACGGCTAAGATGACTGTCACTCAGCCTGCGTCGCATGTCTTCATCTCCTTCAAGTTGAAGATGCGTCAGCCAATCACTTCTTGTCATGTGTACACGTAGTAAGCCAATAGCATGCCGAACGGACTCTCAGAAACACACCCACAACAGACAGGATCACAATTGTGAATTTTGATAGTGGACTTAAGGTTATTGAAACCTAATTTAGAGAAAGCTAATTCCACTAACAGTTTCCAAAGTTAGTAAAAATGCTAATCCACTAAGCAAAAAAAATAGTTCCGCTATTGGCAGAACTGTGCCCATCTACAGGTGGCATCTAACTGAGCTAGAACATCTGGGAAATTAACTGGGGACTAGAAACTGACAGAAAATTTTCCATTGCAATCTCACTGAGTGCTTGTCACCAAGTGACAGTGGAAGCTGTGTGGCCATGATTTGAGAACCCAGATTGTGGAAAAACACAGCTGACTAGTGCAAAACAGCATTCTTGGTCATAAACGTTATTTCATTGTTCTCCTCAGCTCGCCTTGACTGCACCTCAGCAGTTTGCCCCATGTTCAGGAGTTAATCTGCTGTAGTACACTTAGGCAAAGTCATATATGGACCAGAGTTTTTATTCATCTATAATTAGTGGGGGTTTTTTTTTAAAGACATGGTCATTTACCTCAGATGTTTTCTGTCAAAGCAGAGCAGAGCACCTGCTCAGGTGCCAAAATACAGCTTTAATTATCTGGAGATGGGTTAGAGACAATAACATTCAGAGGAGTTCAAGACATGTCGGAGATTTACACAATGCTTTTGTAAAAGAAAAATGGGTGCACAGATTTTTTTAACATGTTCAAAACAAATGACAGGGTTGTGCACCTCTGCAACAAAGTTGAGAACCCCACAAAATATACACAGCATTTGGGAGATGTCCTTATCATTCTCCAACTACTGCCTACCTAGTAAGATACCACCTTTACCCCAGTGTTTAATCAAGCAAAAATTAAGTCTAACAAACACCTTATTATCAAAAAATACAGAAAATGCCATGATATTCCCATCTAAAATAAATCCATTCTCTTTGTTAGAAATAACTTGCAGCTGAGGAGTAAAAATGATGCAAAGTTGAATTGCTATTTTTGGTAAAAGCCATGATGATATAGTACCAAGCTTTTATGACTGTGACTACTTCTAAAATGTAAATACGACCCATTCTTGTGCCATTCATAGCGACAAAATAATGCCATTAACAACTACAGAAAAACACGAAGATGGTCAGAAAAATAGTCTCACATTTTATCAAAGAAATACAAAATCCATAAATTGTAATGACTTTTAGTGACCAACAATAAATTTAATTTATTATAAGTGCACACCCTCGTCTAGCAGAAATCAAATGTGATACATGGCCTGACTTATCATGAATGTGTTGATGTTGTAAAATATTAACACTGGTGGTCACGTTTAAAACTGTTATTACAGAAGAAGCTTCTGACAGATAAACTAGATATGACGTGAAAATCCATAATAAGGTGCTGAAGGCCATTATGGTGAGGCTATGCTAACGCGAAGACAGCTAACGCTTTTACTCCCTAAAATAATGACTTTTAATGCAATTTCACGAAAGCAACGTTAAAGACACTGGGACGTAAGATCACAGTGAATGCATTATAAATAAAACATTTTCATTGTATAATTTAAACAGTCAAAAATAACAACTCTTGCCTGCTAGCTACCTCAACACAGATTAGCTTAATGCTAATTCAGTAGCAGATAAAAACATCGACAACAAAACCCTCTGGTGAATAAATACAACCCATTAAACGTTGATTTATAACAATATAAAGATTATTATGCATAAATAACTGCGACGGTTAAAAAAATACCGACAAATGAATAAGCAAATAGCCAAAACCCAAATCGCTATGTAAACAAATGCTAACGAGTATGCGATTTGTACTAGAGCCGATTGTGGTACTTACAATATTGTATTTATGGCGAACTATACAAGCAACACGGCAAACATAAAAACAAAATTTGCAATAGCCAGCTGCATTCGACAGTGACAGCTTGTTAAAAAACCAGCGAAACGACACTCCCGTTAAACTTCCAGGGTACTGTTACAAAAACAACTCCTACAGGCCAAAAGTTTGACAGTAGATTAAATTATTAGGAGCCGATAATTTAAGAAGACCGTTTTCCTGCGATGTCTAGACAAAACCACGTAAACTAGAGCCTTAATATTTAACCTTGCTTGTTTAATTTTTTTTTTTTTGGAACGGGTTGAAGACAGCGACGGGAATGTAGGACAGGGCGATTAAAAATGGCTGCTGCCCAGAACAAAGCAACAATAAACTGAACAGCGGGGAAACAGAGGCAAAACGGAGGATTTGACATAGCTCCGCATTCATGACTCACCGGATTAAACAATTTAGGAATATCTTCTTATCAGTGAGAGTGATATAGTTCCAACAAACGTTGTCTATTCGGAAGATGGATTGCGATTGTAAAGTCCAATCTTCATAGGTTGCTCCGATAGCAGGGTTTTTGGTCCTACCCGGCCTGAGAATGAGCAGCGTACAGTGAAGGCTGGATCTGTTCCGCTCACAGCGTCATACGTCATCAAACCAAGTCCTCAAACAAGTGTAAACACTGCCCCCCACTGGTCAATACGTGCAATTACAGAAACAACTCAAATAAAATAATAATAACATTAACAATAATAATAATTGATTTCGTTTAAGTCAGGCCTTCTTCAACAAACACGGACAATTTCACACAATTCTAAACATAGCTTTTTTTGTATCGACACAATGACTTTTTAAAATTTGATTATCATTGTATGTGATATAGTCAAGTAAAATTTATTTATAAAGCACATTTAAAAACAGCAGCTGTTACCAACGTGCTTAATAATAAAATAAATGGCAGTAATTGAAAGAAAAAATAATAACAAAAATTAAAAGAAAAACATAAAACACAAAACAATAAAACACCAAATCAAATTACACTGTTGAATGTCAGAGAAAACAGATGTGTTTTTAAAAGCAATTTAAAAACAGGAAGTGCAGTGGCCTGTCTAATTTTGGGGTGGCAGATTGTTCCAAAGTTTAGGGCCCGCGATTGAAATTTCCTCTGAGCTTCAACCTTGGCACAACCAGACGCAATTGATCAGATGATCTCAGCGCCCGAGAAGGAACTAGGTTGAAGTAGCTCAGAGAGATAAGAGGGTGCAAGGCCATTTAGGCATTTAAAGGTCAACAGGAGAATTTGAAAATCTATTCTGATACGTACAGGGAGCCAGTGAAGGGAGGATAAAACTGGTGAAATATGATTCATTCATTCAACCTTTATTTAAACAGGTTAGTCCCATTGAGCCACGAGGTGGTGGGTCCACAAGGCAAACCCATGTTGTTCATTCAGGCTGAGCCCGCCCGGGCCTCGTGGGTAGAGACCTGGTCACCAGCCGCTCTCCAACAAATCCCTCCTCAGGCCTGGCTTTAGGGTGGGGACCCGGTAACTCGTGTTCGGTCATGGGACATCAATTTCCTTGTCTTTGTCCATAAAAGTGTGTTGAATCGCTCTTGTCATAAGACCAATCTGCCATTGGAGACCATACCAGGTAAATGCCCCCGACAGCATAACTCTAAGGATCATGTAGGCGCATAAATTCATTCGCCACAATAAGGTAATGATTCAAGTAGGACTAAAGACTAGCGTGCATAATCATTTCCAGTTCACGTTTTGACACAAGCCTTTTTAAATTAGAAATATTTCTCAGGTAATAAAAATCTGTTCAAGAGGAAGAATCAACAGTCACAACAGGGTGGTTTTCCAGATCAGAACCCTGTGGTACGCCACGTGGCAGATCAGTGGTGTGTGACATCAACTGCTTTATAAAAGCACTGAAGGTTCTGTGGAAAACAGTGGGATAAGATTTTAAGTCATCAAGTCTATTTATAAATCTCTTCAAATTCTGAGGAAAAGTCTTATAAAACTAAATCTGTAAAATCTCTAAAGTCTGCAGCCATCATTATGCCTGTAGATGAGCAGAGCTGTTTTAGTGGAAAGCACTTTACTAAAACTAGACTGAAATTTATCTGAAGTGTTTCGGTGTTCTAATAAAGAACCGTGGAAGCTCAATGGTGCAACAACTCATTTTAATATACAAGAATTTAGGTTAAACCCTAAAATATAGGGCTGTGATTAAAATATTAAATAAAATGTTCAGTTTTTATTGTGCTTGATTAAAAATGATTGTGAAACAGCGTCCAGACACTGTCATCCTGAAACAATTAGTCGAAAAATATATATATTATGTTAGATTAAATAACCTTTTGAACATGTATTATAATATATTCTATGTAAATTTTTGGCTCCAAACCTGTTATGGTAATATAAATAAATAATTTAAAGGCCAGATATTATTAAAATGTAAGCAAAAGCTCATTCAGATGTCCAGGGAGGCCAAACAGAGTCCAATAGATGGCACTGTCTTCTAACTTTCTGTCTTTTTTAAATCTGGAACAGCTGATCTACATGGACCTTTCATTTTCTCAAGGTAACACTTTCAAATGCTCAAATTATCACATTAATGTGTCTTTAACTAATTGCAACACAGAGTTTTTTTTCATTCATTCAACCTTTATTTCTACAGGTTTGTCTCATTGAGCCTCGGTGACTCATTTACAAGAGAGACCTGATTTAAACAAAAAACACAAATAAAAACAGTAGGCAATCATTCAAAAAAACATATAAAATGACAAATAAATGGAAGAAAACATATTTAAAAAAATGAAACGAACGCAGTTGCATTAAAGCGATATAAAATATTAAAAACAGGAACATGTCTGTATTGGTTTTTCCCAGGAACTTAGCAGATGTTTTAAGTCACTTAGAGAGGTCAAGGTCGAGAGCTTCAGAGATGTATGAAGGCAGCAGAACAAGAACTGATTTAAAGATGAAAATATACCAGTGGGAGAGTCTATGTGAAGTTAATGAGGACCAGTTAACCAGTAAATACAGGGTGCAATGATGGGTACGGTAGTTACAGCCAGTTATGAATCTTAGCGCACCATGATAGGCAGTGTCCAACATCTGCAGGATGCTTGTAGGAGCGTTCATGTAAATAATGTCATCGTAGTCAAAGGAGGGAAGGAAAGTCACAGTTACAAGGTGTTTCCTAGCATTCAGAGTTAGACAGGATCTGTTTCTGAAAAAGAAACCCAGTTTTACTTTCAGTTTCTTAACCAAGTTTTCAACATGGGGCTTAAATGAGAGATGCAAATCGACCAAGATATCCAAATATTTGTAGGAATCGACAAACTCAATGGGCACACCATTTGAAGATAAAATAGAAGAAAGAACTGTTGGGACTGACTTTCCGTTTGAAAACAACATCACTTTGGTTTTGTCGACTTTTAGGACAAGTTTGAGATGAACAAATCTGACTGGATGATGTCACATGCAGACTGTAAGAGTTGGAAAACCTTAGCAACTGTTTTAGCTCGTCGATAAACAACTGTATCATCAGCATAAAAATGTAAGGATGCATCAGGGATGATCTGACCTATATGTAAATTGTGAAGAGGGTGGGTCCTAAGACTGAGCCTTGTGGTACACCATTATTGACTGTTAAATAACTGGAAGAACTAGCATTATTTTTAACACATTGCCTCTGATCTGAGAGATTGTTAGTGAACCAACTAATGGTATGATCTGAGAAAACAATTTCTGTGAGCTTATGACACAAGATGTCATAGTCCAGTGTCAGAAGCTTTAGACAGGTCTAAACAAAGTGCAGCACAATAATCCTTAACATCCAGTGCTTCAATGACATCATTAAAAACCTTCAGCAAAGCAGTTGTGTTGTTTCCTGACACCAGATTGATGGAGAGGTAAGATGTTGAGTCTAAATACTTTTTGATTTAAGAGTTTATCAGTTTTTCTAGAACCTTAGCTAAAATACAGAATTTAGAAATCGGTCGATAATTGTTCAGTGATGTGGGGTCACCTAGAATAAAAGCTGTTTTCCAAGTACATTTGGAACGGTGTTTTGGCTTATGGACAGATTAAAGGTGTGAGACACTGGTTCTGCAATGATGTGTGCAGCCAGCCTTAAGAAATAAGGAGGAAGATCATCAGAGCCTGCAGATTTTTTAGACCTTTTAACAATTTATTAACCTCACTAACCGAAAACAGTGGTGAGGTGTGAGACACCTGAAGATTATTGTGTCTAACATTACTGCTGCATGTTTACTATGCAGCTCAAATGGAGCAGGAAGACACAACAAAACCAGCTCTGTGCAGAAACAGACCATTTATCAGTGTGAGCCCTCAGGAATAGTTTGGTTTTACGAGCTCTGAGCCACGAGGCCTTGGTTCCAGAGCAAACATTAAGCAATCTAAATCCAGAACAAAAAGCTACATTTTCCTGTGAGGCAGACCATCACGTTTGAATTCATCTAGCGATTAGTCCTCCATAACAGCACTGTGCCTCTGTTTTAGTTTGGAACTGGAGTGAATTCATTCTGATTATTTGCAGACTTCTTTAAAGTGGTGTCACTTTGAAGCAAAACGAACCACGGTTTAGATGCCCTCAGTCAACCATGTCAAGTTCTTTCTGAAGCTTTGCAGCTCAAATTTAAATTATTTGTATTGTTTCTGTTTTCTAGGTTAATCAGAATATATATATATATATATATTTTATTATTATAGTTCTTAAATACCACAAGCTGACATGAATAGAAATCCTTGATGGTTGAGTTTTGATTGTGCAGAGAAAAAAATAATACAAAATAGACCTCCTTTGATTTCCTCTGAAAGGCAAAGTGCATGAATGTGTCTGTTAGCAAAAATTTTCATGAATCAGTGGATAAAATTTAATAAAACATACAGTCAGTAATCCTTGCATGTACATTTGAACTTTTGGAGTCAAACTGGTTCAAAATGGCTGCAACTCTATTTCTCACCATGCAGTGATCTCAGTCCACCCTGGTATGGTAGGTGGTGTGTGATATGTATTCCTTCAACAAATGCAAGGCCTTTTTTTCTACATGACACTGTTCCCAAAACTTGTCTATGAGTCTGTTTCAGTCTCAAGATGTTTTTCCCGTTAAAATGCAGAAACACTCGTCCTAAATGTTCCTCGGTTATGTAATAAATGTTCTCATTGCTGACACACATCCTGGTCACATGCAGCTTTCAGGCAACTAAAGCTTCAGCAAACATTTTCAGAGAAGTTTCAGTTCCTTCATCTGGCTCTGAGCATGCCACAGTGCAGCTGCGTTGCTTCCTGTTACATTTTCTGTGGTAAGAGCTGTTTAATCCTAAAATAACATTTGATTATTGGAGTAACAGAATAATCTTGATTGTCCTTTAGATTATAACGTGAAATGTTTGGTCCAAAATGATAATGTAAGAAATAATTCAGCACTAATCAGAATAATTTGGAAACGATCAGTTGAGACCACACCTGTCAGGAATTGTGCCACATGGGGATCGATGGGAGGGAATGAATTATTCATCCATCCATCCATCCATCCATCCATCCATCCATCTATTCGCTTTTTACTTTAGTCCTTTGTTTCATTTCTCCTCCCCCAGTTTGCAGCACGTCTCTGCATCTTTTTATCCTTCAGACCAGGCCCCAGAAATTAACTTCTGAGTTTATCCATCCATCCATCATCTTTACCTGCTTCTTCCTTTTCGGGTTGTGGGGATCATTGGTGCCCGCTGTGCGAGAGGCCTGGACCGGTCTTCAGTCCATCACAGAGACACAAAGAGACCAACAACCAGTCACTCTCTCACTCACACCTAGGGACAATTTAAAGTTACCAATCAGCCTAACATGCATGTTTTTGGTCTGTGGGAGGAAACTGGAGCACCCGGAGAAAACCCACACATGCACGGAGAGAACATGCAAATTCCACCCAGAAAGGCCACAGGCTGGGATTTGAACCGGCAACCTGCTTGCTGAGCGGCGGCAGCTCTACCAACTGCGCCACCGTGCTGACCAATGAATTATTATAATTTTTATAATTCTGTCACAAAGTTACACATGACATATAATGATTGGTGTTTTTTGTGTACCATCTATCTGTTTAAAAGTAGGCTTGAGGATTTTTTAATCTGTTTTATTACTTGGAGTTTTAAATGAAACACTTCTTTTTTTCTTTTGCTGACTGTTGAGCAACGTGATGCTCGTGATGTTTGAAGCTTGAGAAAGGTTGTCACATAAATAGACACTAAGCTTTCTAGTACAGTATTTAACACAAAAATAATTTAAAACATGACTGAATGACCATCTTTAAGATATTTTTCTATGACAAAAATTGATAATATTATATGTACTGTATTTTGTGCCATAAGAGTAATGATTAAAACACAAATGATTTTCATGACTGATTTTAATCATGAGAAAATGCAACAAAGTCAGTCAAACAGATTCCTGTATAAAACCAATCCTGTCTACACTACACTGTACCAAACCAGTTCACAGGGATACTTTTCACCACAAAAATTGATCAAGCATGTACATTTTCACGTATAACCCCATTTCTGAAAATGTTGGAATGTTGTGTAAGATGTAAATAAAAAAAATTAAAAAATGCAATAATTTTTATTCTATGTGGAACATTGTAAACAAATCAAATATTTAAACAAAAACAGTGTTTTCTTAAGGAAACATAAATAATTGTGAATTTGATGGCAACAATACACAAAAAAGTTAGAACAGAGGCATTTTTTCCACTATGAATTGATGGAACCTTTCCAGATGTGTGAGCTGTCCATGCCATAGGCACTAATGCACCCCCACATCATCAGAGAGGCAGGTTCTGAACTGTGCCCTGATAACAGATCTGAAGGTCCATCTTCCATTTAATATGGAGGATGGAGGGTTAGTGGTTTCCCTAAAGCACTAATACATTTTGAGTTTGACGACAGAGCAGTTTTCCACTTTGCATCAGATGGTCATCCAATACGGACTTTCAGGCTTGTACAGATTTTTTTAATACTTTCACAATATTATGAACAGTGGATGATGAAATATTCAGCCTTATCAATTTTGATATTGATTATTATTAATCTGAAGCTGTTTCACTGTTTTTAGACAAGTTTTTGAAGATTGGTGAACCTCTCTCATCTTTACTTCTGAGGGATTCAGTCTCTTTAAAATTATATTTTTCATCTCGGTCTCTTATTGACCTGTTGCCAATTAACTCAATTAGTCTTAAAATGCTATTTTAGTTGTTTCATAATAGTACCACTTACTTTTACAGTATTTGCTGACTATGGTCCATCTTTTAATGATGGGTTGCCATAACATGGTGAAGTGTCCCTGGGCAAGACACTGAACCCCTCATTGCCTCTGATATATTGGTCCCATCAGTGTATGAACGTGATCTAAAAGCACTGATTCATCAGGATTTGTTCAATTGAAGATGTAGTAGAGCGCTGTATGAATGTGTGTGTGGAGGTAAATGATGGCACAGATGTTAATGTAAAGAACTTTGAGTATCTTGATTAGATAGAAAGGTGCTTTATAAGTACAGTTCATTCACCATTTATTTTTTAACGATACAATTTTGCTGATTCAACATTTGAAGTTTCCTCTGTTCCACAGCGAATAAAATATGGATTTATAAAAGTTGCAAATCGTATTTTTGTCATTTACATTTTATACAATGTCCCAACCCTTTTATAACTGGGGTTGTACATACTTAAGCAATTTGAGTGTGGCTTACAGACTCATCACCAACCAACCATAAACAATTACAAGGCTATCAACAATGAAATATTCAAATAAAAAAGCTGAATAATTTGAAGGTCAGATTATATTCGACTCCACAGTAGAAGTGAAATAGTAGTTTCTCCATCTGGGGCTTTTGTTTTTTGCACGAACAGTTTCTTCAAAAAGAAAAGTTCAGATGAAAGCAAAAAATAAAAACTACAGACATATACAAAAATATTAACAGTATCAATTAAGAACATTGGGAATTATCCAAAACAATCATAATATGACACAGAAATAAAAAATAACTCAATACAAGGGTACCACTTGAATTTCAACATTTTGCAAACTCAAAACTAAAAAAGAAGAAAAAAGAAAGTGAAGGTGATATTAGTAGTTGTGCATAGAAACAGGTTAGATACCGGTAATTAAAAAAACAAGTTTTCGTGTGCACTTTTAAGGATAAATCCAGCTGTTTTTTTGCCTTTAGCATTTACCTGAAACATTTTAAGGGTAAAGGTGTGTGACAGATGGAGATTTAAAGCTGTATGACTTGTAAGGACTATAGGATTCGCCTTAAAAAAAATAAAAATACATGCACACCGTCTGCACCGTTACATTAGTGTTTTTATCTGTTCACGGCCTGTTGTAAAATAAAAAAAAGTCTAACTGTTGTCAAAATAACCTTAAAGAACTAATTATAAGCTCAGCTAAGTCCTGCAGGAAAGGCTCAAAAAAAGGGGCTCCAGCTGAGCGTGCTGATGGAGATGAGAGTCTGACAGGTGTTGGACGAGAGCCACACCGACTCCATCAGACTGAAGTGCAGCATGCCCAGCGCAAAGCCACACACCATATCTGTTAGGTGGTGTTTACCCAAGAGCACCCGGGACATGCCCACCAGGAAGGCCCACAGCACCAGCAGGATGCGAAGTGGGACAGCCAGGACCAGATGGGACAGTAGAAACTTGGAGACCATGGCTGCCCGGCTGGCATGGGCAGCAGGGAAGGAGTACACATCCATGGCGACGCAGTCCAGGAAGCCTGGCATCATCTCCCAGGGTCCCCTTCGCTTCACGAGTCTCTGGACTCCAGCCACCGTCATGACGTCAAGGACGAGGGCTATCAGGAAAACCAGCAAGAAGACAAAAAGGACGGAGTACGTAACAAGGTAATGCAGCACAGACAAAATAATGTAGAAACAGCTCTCTGAAAATCAGTCATAATAAAAATTCCTAAAAACAAAAATACACATCAGCTACAAAACATCAATAAATAAAAATGAACTGCATTGAAAATAAAGATTTGTGCATTAAAGTATTGTCACCTCCGTTTCTTTTTCCTTCTGAACGCTCTTTAAATATAATTTACAACTTCTAACAATCCATAAATAAGAAAAACAAAGAATTATGCTGCAATAAACACAACATAAATAAATCTTTTTGCAAATGTTAGAATGCATATGGTTAATTTAAAATCAAACATTCAAGTGAATACAACTCAATCTACTACATTCAACCCCTCAGAATTATCATCCTCATTATTAGAGATGCACGATAATGTTTTTTTGGCTGATATCCTTTTTGCCAATATGTTAAAACTTTTTTGGCCGATAACCGATACCAATATTTTTTCCCCTAGACCTAGTTACAGAGACTACATAGCTTTCTCTGCTGTGGAATTAAAATACTACAGTACATTATTCTGCATGGTCTTGCAGATGTAGATGCCAAAAAAAGGGGGCAGAAAATGATGTAACACTTCAACTTGAATTATGTTAAATGTCAAATTTATTCATGACATTTACTCTCTCTAACACGATGACAACATTCAAACAGTGCAAATTTGTAAATTTGCACAAATCTTAACTCAACCTGTTCACAAGCGACAAGTGAAAAGCACATAGTGCATAAATAGATACACCTGACAGTTTCTTAAATTAAAAATTAACTTAAAACAGAAGCCCAATACATGGTTATACAATTTTAATGATGAACTCAAATCTCCTTGTCACTGGTTGTCGTATATATATATATATATACATACATATATAAGCAGTGTCTTTTATATCGGTGAGTATTTTGATGGATATTTAACTTTTTCGCTAATATTGGCCAATACGATACCATGCCGATAATATTGTGCAGCCCTACTCACTATGAATTCTAATTAATACAATGATATATAAACATTTATAGAGCTGCACATGAAATATATCGTCCACAAAAAAGTAATTTTCCCTCGTTCGGCCCCTATCACCATCCTCCCACCACCATGCTTCACTACAGTCAGAACTGCACATTCACAGCTTTAATTCTGGTTAAGTTTACAAACTTAATGAGTTTATAATTTTTTTTTTTTTTTTCATGATTTGACAAAAAAATGAAGTCCTCCAATCAAACGCCTTCTCACATCTTCAGTAAAGTTTTGATGCTTTGTGCCAAATTCTTAAACATATCCATTGAAACTGATATAATGACGTTTCTCTCTCACTGTCTAGAGTTCAGCTGTATCTGGACCATGATTAATATAAAGAATTACCAGTAAGACAAAATGGATAAATGTTTAAAATGTCACAATTACTGCTGCAAGTTAGTCTCTACTGTATTTTTTAAATTGAGTTACCAATCCTTCTGTTTCATTTTCCATTCTTCTGGCTATAGTTGTCTTGTAGATCAGTAAATAGATGCATATGATGTACAAATCTAACAATATACTCTATAAATAAGCAGTTTAAACAATGTGTAATATTTGCAATGGAGATTCAAACGAGTGGAAGTGTAAAACGCTAGTGAGTCAGTGAACAACCGGAGTAAAATATGTAAAAGGATATCTTGGTGACCGAGAATAACCAGTACAATAATATTAAGCCACATTTGGTCCCTCTGCTCACATGCCAGAGATTTGTGGAGACCTTTAAATAACTCCACGACACTCCCAAATATATCCACTACCCTCTTTTGGCCCACCTTCACACACTCACAATCATCGTTTTCACGGGTTACATAGCTTTATTTCACCTTTGATCTCATTTAGTCTGTCATTTTTATTCCAGAAACAAAAAAACAATCTAGTTTGGTGGGGTTATTCTTTATGTTCAGAAAATTAATTAACAGAATTACACAGAAAACTAGAAAAGCAGAGAATAAAAAGAGTGTAATGTGCAAAGGGACAATTGTCTACAACAATTCTTGTTTCCTTCAAATCTGTTTAGTCAAATTAAAGCATCAGAGAGCACTCAGTTTGTTTATTATCACCAAGACTTATATATGTGTGGGGATGAAAGGGCATATTTAAATTATACTTTCTTGAACAAATTTCTGGGAGCTGTTTGTTTTATATCCTATAATTAGGGGGGGGGGGTTCTGCAGGGGGCAAAAACAGTGACAATTCCAACCTTTTTCTGAGCAACAGTTGCAGTTTACACAACGAAACGACATATTTGATGTTTTATGTGAGCCGAACTGCATTTAGTTAATGATCGCACTTTCAGTCAGGCACATTCTGACCCTGAATTCTCCTTAAATTTGTTGGTCAACGACAAACTGTCTGAACCTTAAGATTCAAGAAGTGCAACAAGTCAAACTCATGCGAGGGTAATACTGTAAACGCTTAAACCTGTTATAGTTAACTTTTGGATTAGAATGACATCCCTATAATAAACACACTGTAATAATTAACTAGAAAGTTCCTGGAGAAACTTTGACAGGGACTGCCAGGCTGCTGCCAATTTCAATTGTTCATTTGACAGTACGACTGACAGAACACTTAACTGCTGCTGTGAAATCACTTGGAGTGTAGAGGTCCATGGAGAAAACAGAAAGTCACTGTTGGATTTGTTTGAAACTCACAGAAAGTTATCATCAACTAAATGTCTAGAAGTGATTAACGTTTGGAGCCATTTTGATTCAAGATGGCTGCCACAGCTACCTCAGCAAACACAAAATTGACTGTAACTCGGTCATTCTTTGAGATATTGAGCTGAAATTTAGTATGGTTGTAGCTGAGAGCGAGTTGTTATGCATTCCTAATGCAAAGCAAATATCCAAGATGGCCGCCTTAGTTAAAAAAGTAAAAAAAATAAGATAACTCGGCCATGTTTAGAGTTATTAAGCTGAAATATGGTGTACTGCTGAGAACGATCCCTAATAGACTTTGACTGAAAATCAAAATCCAAGATGGCCACCTGAGCAAAAAAAGGAAAAATACTATAAATTAGCCAATTTTAGTCATATTAAGCTGAAATTTGGTGTGGGGCTAGCTGAGAACATTTCCCATCAAATGCGGCATCCAAGATGGCCACCAACGCTACTTTTAAATGGCTTTAACTCAGCCAGTTTTACACATATAGAGCTGAAATTTAGTGAGGTTATAGCTGAGAACGTTCATCCAAATCAAATATCCAAGATGGCCGCCTTAGATAAACGAGAAAAAAATACGATAACTCGGGCATTTTTAGAGGTATTTCGCTAAAATTTGGTGTAATGGTAGCTGAGAGCAAACCTAAATACATTTATATAGGGAAAACGGTGTCTTTGTTAGCAAAATATGTTGCCACGGTAACTCAAAACGCCAATAAAAGTAATAGCACACATCACAGGGCTGAGGGGGTACACGTTGCGGTTCAGATCGCATTAAAGTCGACGGAAAATGTATAAGATATAAAGTTAAGAAATCCGTTTCCAGGTGAATAATAATAGGTGTCTGCTTTTTAAAAGGCAGTCCCCAATAACTGGTATTTGTTAATGCAACATAAATTAATCTTGTGGGAATATTTTTTGTTGCTTATTATTTTCAATGCCGCCTCTGTACACATAAAATGATCATTTTTAAATAAATAAACAGGATGATAATTAACTTATAGTGAGTATTAACAGAAACAGCACATCTGTCAAACAAAAAATAAAAAATGCTTGCCCCAAAAATCGATGGAACGCTTGTGGTAATTGCTGTTTTCATGCAAACTGCTGGAAAGCAAAAAAAAAAGAAAAAAGAAAGAAAGAGGTGCAAACAGCTCAGTTCTTGGAAATAGTGCTGAATAGTGAGCTATCTGCTCCACTGAGCAGAGACAACAGCTGTGTGAGTGTTGCTGTCAGCATCCACCAGGACACAGACAAGGCACAGCCAGAACACGCCAAACTGTGTCTCAGAAAACTCAGAGAAACAAATAATCTCAGACATCACACTTAAAAAGCTCCTTAAGGAACAGACACATTTGAGTAAAATACAAAGCAGTCACAAAAAAAACAAAAAAACATTTGCTATCCCCAGAAAGTTTGAACTTACATCCTAAAAAAGGAGCTTTTGGGCTTTTTAATGTTTTGTATTTGATATAAAAGCTGCTCTTTGGCATGTTTAACAGTTAATCAAGAGGGAATATTACTGCACTGTGCAGTCCACGTGGTCGCAGCAGTAAGCTGATGTAAACCAACCCTGACAGATCGGTCATGGTAGATTACTCTGCCAGTAGATGAAAATAAAACCTACTTTCAGTCAGCATCAAATATTAATTCTTCACCAGCTGCGGGGTTTCCCCTTACAGACCTCAACAGCCAGCAGATGATCCTGAATTAGAGCACGAGGTCAAATAATCCAAACACAATGCATCGGTATCACAAATCCATAGATTCGCTGGCTTCTAATCAGTGACCAAACATGGCTACACGTCATTTTATATTGCTTGTGTTTATTTTTTATTTTGATCCTCTGTATTTTCAGCTCAGTTTGTGTGTTTAGTTCTTTCTCTCTGGCAGGATGTTAAACTATTGCTGCACACGACTAACATATATAAAATTATTTTATGTTATGTTTTAAATGTTGAGACGCTGCATAACATAACAAAACAATTATTGTGTTTGTGCAGATGGATTAAATTTGGGATTTTATTTCAGCATGTCCTTTGTCCATAAGCTTCTCAGATCACACTGTTAGCTAGTTCTCAAACGATCTCTCAGGTTGGAGGCAATGTATTCGACGTAACGGCACTTCATCTAGCTACCTAATGCTCACCAATGGTGTGCCACAAGGCTCAGTTTTAGGTCCCACTCTTTTTACAATTCATATAAATAATGTAGGTCAAAACATTCCTGACGAATCCTTGCATCTCTATGCTGATGACACTGTTGTTTATTGCCGATTTAACACAGTTGCCAAGGATTATTGAGCATGCATCAGGACAGTTGCCAAGGTTTTCCAGCTTCTACAGTTTGCATTTGACATAATTTAGACAGACTTATTCCACCTCTAGCTGGTGTTAAATGTTGACACAACCAAAGGGATGTTGTTTTCCAACAGGAAGTCAGCGCCAGCAACTCTTCCTCCTATCTCATCCATGCATGGTGTTCCTAATGAGTTTGTAGATTCGTACAAATGGTAATTTTGGTTGATGCACATCTCTCTTTTAAACCACATATTGAAAAATCGATAAAGAAGTTGATTAAAACTGGGTTTCTTTTTCAGAAATATATCTTGCTTAACTTTGAATGCCAGAAAACGTCTTGTAACCGCTACCTTCCTATCGGCCATTGACTATGGTGACATTATTTACATGCCCCTGCCAGCTCCTTGCAGATGTTGGATGCTGTCTACCATGCTGCGCTAAGATTCATAACTGCTTGTAACTACTAACACTGCTCTCTGTACTCACTGGTCAGTTGGTCATCATCTACACGTAGGATCTCACACTGGTTCATTTTCATCTATAAATCACTCCTTGATCTGCTGCCTTCTTATATCTCCTCCCACATGTCATATCGTCAGTGCAGTTACAACGTGCACTCTACGGCCATCATTACCTGCAGCGTTCCCTCATTGTGGTCTAAACTTGGCAAAAAGGCCTTTTCCTACTCAACTCCTGCAACCTGGAACATCTTGCAACAGGAACTAAAGTTGTCCACCTTGATTTCTTTAAGGGGTTTCAAACATTTGATAATGTAAATGGAAAAATCAAAGCAGATATGTTCTTGTTTTTAGTATTTCATCCTGTTTTACTGCACTCTGATTTATTGTTTTATACACTACTCTTATTTTAACTGCATTTTTATTGTAGTTTATTGTTGTCATTGTCTACTGTTGTTGTCTGTATCACCCCATAGGACATAAACATCTGTTTACTTTAGTTGTAACTGTCTTTATTAAACCATGATGTTTTCCTAAACCTTCCAAGCAGTCCTGAAAACTACAAGATACAGCCTCAAAATCCAACAAACCTTTGATGCTTTCTTTTACAATCTATTTTTCTCCAGTGAGACACACTGAAGGCTTATTCTTTATGCACATACATTCTTGGCAATATTACAAACAAACAAACAAACAAACAAATACATTTTCTCAACTTGTTAAACTACAAAGTATGTATCCATGTGGAGTTTTACGAAGAGGTAAATTATGTTTACGTTTGAAAACCTGAACTTATATGAACAGTATACACCTGATCCTGTTTGCTGCAGTAATGTTCAGCCTTTTAAGGCCTATATGGAACAACAAACGTTTTGCTGTTGGCATCAAAATGAGCACGCTTTAGAAAAATATCCAAACATTTAAGAATATTTCAAATGAAATACACTGTTCTTTGCATGTTTAATACCTGTTTTCTGTTTGTTTAAAGTATATAAAGCTTGTTACCACCTGACGCTGAATAGTAATGGATCTGTAATGTTGTTTGTGTGCATGTGTTTGTATGTCTGGTTTTATTTTTTCCAAAATATCTTAGAAAAAAAATAAACCCTGGAGGAGTGTTAAAGAAACTTGTAGAAAGTATGGATATGCATCTATAACTGATTAACTTATGGAGTCAACCTGATTCAAGATGGCCACCACAGCCAGCTGACTTTAGAGAACATAAAAATGACTTTAGCTCAGTCCATTTTATGGATATTGTGCTAAAGTTTGGTGTGGTGGTAGCTGAGAGTAATTCACAACAAATGCTCCTAATGAGTGTCACGATGAACACGAGTTTGAACTCAGGATTATAGACAGACTGAAAGAACTAAAAAGATAATTTAACGAAAACAAAAGTGCTGTTGTGGCTGCAGAAGTTATGCAGTGAGGATGGGCACAAGGAGACAAAGAAGCACAGGATACCTGGACGTGGCAGGAATAAAGTGCAATGCTCAACTGGTGAATGAATATTTTGACTGGGGAAGATAAGGAAGTGCACCTGGGCTGAAGTGACAACTGAGAACAGGTGTGGCAGGACTATGGAGCTGAGACTAACTGCGGAAAAGTGCTGAAAATGGCAGAAACACAAGGAGGCAAGGAACAAACTGAACACAAAGAAAGCACAGAAACAACAGCATACATCCTGATCATGCTCAATACTTAAAAAAAAATCTAACAAAGTTAAGTCAGGTCCTCTGGTTTCTTTTGGTTGAGACGTTTCATCTTTAATCCAAAAGACTTCATCAGCCTGAGGAGCCTCAATAAGCTCAATCTTATAAATAGAATTTTCTCATAGTGGGTCAACCAGTTCAGTTTCAACAAAATTAATCGTCCAGAGGACCTGACTTAACTTTGTTAGATTTTTCTACCTGGATTGTTGACCATGAATCAGGATATTTTGACCACTTTGGCCATGACTGCCTCAGACGAGTTGGCGGCGGAGAGGGTGGACTACAGAAACAATCTGAGCACCATCAAACCGGTTGACCCACTTTGAGAAGGTGCCATTTATAGTTTGTTGCAGCTCCTCGATCTGATGAAGTCTTTTGGATGAAAGACAAAACATTTCAACCAAAAGAAACCGTCCAGAGGACCTGACTTAACTGTGTTAAACACCATACAAAAACCCCAGAACAAAAAGTAAAAATATGACAAAGGGATGGAAGCATGGCATAGCCTTGTTTCCTTTTTGTGAAATTTTAATCACATCTTTGCCTTTTTTGTTAATAAACAAAAAGGAAACATATTATAGGTCCTTGTAATTTCAGATGACCTTTTATAAATTAGCTTGTGTTGCTTGTAAAAAAGCAGTTTAGCAGATTTTATTTGTGACCTCTTCTAAAAAACAATGATGAAACATATTGCTATGCGTGTCTAAACCTTCAAAAAAAAAAAAAAAAACTTGTGTTAAAACCGGTTTGAATAATTGTTGCATATCTGTGCACACATTGATTTAAGACGAGAACAAAATGTGGATGAGATTCATTCATAAAAATGTAAGTTTCCGTGACTCTTTGTGGTGCTGATGGAGATGGTGGTGGATGTGATTACCCAGCAGCAGGTTGACTAAGACCTCTTGTCCTGCCAGGGTGTTGCTCCGCGTGAGACACACGATAGTGCCAATGATCCACGTGATCCCGTGGCCCGTCAGCGCCAGCAGGGCCACCATGGAGCGGCAGCCTCCCCAGGAGGAGGACGTGTAAGCGCACACCCCCATGCGTTTGGACAGACAGATGTCAATGGCGAGGAGGGAGTTCATGGCTATTCCCTTGAAGGAAGGGTTCAGCTGCATGCAGTCCTCCTCCGGCATCTTGGTGGACTCCCTCCTGTCCTTGCTGCCGCTGTCGGTAGGTTCCTCGACCTTCTGGCTGCTTTGGTGCTTGATTTGAGGTGGTCGTCTGGAGCCGCCGCGGCTCTCCGGGGGCCCGCCTGAGGCGCGGGGGGCCTGCTGGTTGAGGGACATGAACTCAGGTCTGCTCAGGACACTGTTCCTCTCACGCGCCCTGGATCTCCCCGTGTAAGTCGAGGGCATGATTGGATAGAGATACTTCTTTTTTCCTTTGATGGTATAACCGATTGTAAACCTCCACGAGGTAATTCAAGTGGCCATTCAAGTTTATCACAGAGGGGAAATGTCCCAGAATAAACCCCCCCAGAACAGTCCTCCCCCTCCTGTGGCCTTAATAGATATATTTAGAGCCTCCGGTATGTGAACTCCCCATGCTGCTTGTAGCACCAAGGCAGGCAGTGGATTAAATGGTGCATCATACTTCCAGCTAGCCTTGTGAAATTCGACCTACAGCATGAACACAAAAATAACAACATGAGCATTTCATTGCGCTGCAGCATCAGCTAACAGGTGCGTTCAAGCGCAGGGTAAACAAATGGGCAGGAAATACGCAAAAACGAGGTCTTACCTCACAGTGTCTCTCTAAATGCCCTTCTCTGCTTCCATCACACCTCGGTGAGAGACAACAAAGAGCCAAAAACCAGCAGGTAAAGATGAGGATAATAGACGGTCGGTCTGCGCAGCGTCCGTTGATTTTTGACGTAGTTTACGCACAATCCGGATTCAGCTTCTGCGCTGCGCCCCGCTGCGGAGCGGAGTTCTCCAAGGTGCTTAAACAGACATGGGCACCGTGTTCACACGCACAAATAACATTAAATTAAATTAAAGTAGATACATTGTATTTACCGGGAAAATACAGCTGACTGAGTACTGAAGAACTGCTGAAAATTTCTGAAGAGCTGTTAAAGCTAAAATGGCAGCAAAACGCCAATAAACATTAACAACAAAAACACACAAAAGCATACTTGTTCAAAACTGAAAATGTTAAAAAGGTTAACTAGAAGCTAAAAGTAGCAAAATGCTAGCTAAAAAAAGCAAAAGGTTAGGTAAAAAAATAGTAAAAGTTAGCTAAAACATAAAATTATAAACAAGCTAGCAAAATATGATAAAATAGAACATGCATGCTGGAATATATTTTAAAGAAAACAAAGTTTTTGAAGGATTTTAAGAGATCTTAATGTATTTCTTTGCACATGTGTTATGTAAATAAAGTTCAATTTTTTTGGAAAATGTATAAGTTACTGTGTACATAAGAAGCCATAGCACCCATCTCCAATGAGTTTACAAGACTGGATGAAGTACAAAATGCTGCCAACCAAACAGACATAAGACACACAGCATGAGTAGAGCCACACTGTTTGTCACATTTAAAAATCACTATCACAGGTGGAAACTGTTGCGAGCTCAATAATGATTGAATAAAAAAAAAATTCAAAATAATTCTGTTGGCTAATAATAACTTAATAATTTCCACGTCTTGACTAACACAACTTTTTCCAGCTTGTTTTGTGATGTTTGTTTGTAAAAACAGCATAAAACGCAGACTTGTAAGAACTACTACATTTCCCAGCATGCCTACAGTTTAGGGCGGAAGTGTCGTCATGAAGATGCTTATTGAGCTGCTCGCAGGCTCGATGTGTAGCGGGGTGAATCTGCTGCCGTTGCCATGGGACGAGTCGACAGGGAGCTGACAGCTCGTGCAGAAATGTCGGCTAAGTTGCATCTTTAGCTAACTCAAACTATGTGACAACCGCGTCCTCCGAATGAGGCGTATTATTATTTTATTTTATTTTATTTATTTCTTTATATTTCGGACTTTTATTTGAAATTACCCTAAATATGGACACGGCGGAACGGGCGCAAAAGTTAACCCGGCGGTGTCCTTTGGATGTCGCCGTGCTCCTCGAACTCCGCTAGCCGTCCCGGAGATGCCGCCTCTCTCAGCGGGACTTCAGCTGCAGCCACCGGGAGGGGAAAATAACGGAATTACCCCTCCGACCGAAGAACTGTGAGAGCCCGCCGCTGGCTCCATATTTCTCCAGGAATTCACACCGATGAAGACCTTCCAGTTCATTGTTTTATAGGTAGACTCCCTTTTTATGCACGTCATTTTTTTTTATCGGCTAAGAATAAAACCGCTACTCAACTGCACTGCATTAACCCTTAATCCGCAAACACGTCTACAGAATGACATTAATGGTTAAATTAAGGGACATTTCTCTGCTCTACATGTCGCCGTTAGTTGTCGATAATGTAATTAAAATGTTTTGAACACTGAAGCAGGAATTGCTGACACGAAGAATGATCCAAAAGGAAACCTGATGCCAAGACGTAACATTAGTCATTTTGTTAATTATTTAGTTCATAATGAAGCTGAACTTCACAGCAGACCTCTTCCGGGATGAATTTTAATTTTGTTGTTGTTGTTGATTTTTTTCCCTTCTATTTGTGGGAAGGCTTGTGACTTGGATGAGAAGTTGGCTCGTGAAGTTTCATTTACGCACCGGAAGGCATGCGCGCTGCGTCTTCCTCTCCTCTGACAGTTTCAATTCAAAGTCGCATGTTTTTTTTGTTTTTTTTTTTTTCCCATCTGACCACCTGCTCAGTGAATAATCAGTTTTTGTAGACTTTTTTTTTTTTTTTTTGGTCTTTGATGGAGGGAGCACAAGTGTGATTCTCTTCCATGCGTCTCTCCTCTCCTCCTCCAGACCTCCGGACGTTGTTGTGGATCGGGTTGCAGTTTCATGCGATGGGCTGCATCCAGAGCATCAGGTGTAAGCCCAAGAGTTTCCGAGACAGCGTCATCGTCCTGGATCTGAACGCCTCCATCGACTCCAGCCCCACCATCGTGGACGAGACGTCCAGCGTGGTCCTGCGCTACAGGACGCCGCACTTCCGAGCCAACGCGCGGGTCGAGGTGCCTCCTGTGGCGGCCAAAGAGACGTGGACCATCGGCTGGATTCAGGCGTGTAACCACATGGAGTTTTACAATACCTACGGGGACAAAGGGATGTAAGTGCAGCTATTTGTTACTACTTTTAACCACCACCACCCAGATGATGGGGTGAGACTCATGTCCAAGGCACAGCTTTTTGAGAATCCAAATGTGGCTCAGCTCCTTTGATTAGATAATTGTCTGTCATTTCATTAGTGAAACAGATTAGTCCCACCAGATGTGATCAATTTCATATGAAAATGCTTGTCCACATGTGTGCTCTTAAATATTTTGGAAGCAAAAATAAATAGAAAAAGATATCATTTTTACACTTAAATATTTGAGAAAACAAACAAAAACAAAACTGCTCCACTGTTTGATTTATCAAACGTCAAAAAGGAAAGCTCAAATAAAGCTCAATGAAATTTATTTAGGAATCTCAAAGTCCCCCTTTTTGTATAAAAACGATCTGTTAAAAAAGTTTTAAAGCATTAAAATGCATCAACACATATAAGTACTCTACACTAGTTTTTATTTTTTAACTCAAGTCTAAATTTCTAATTAGGCGTTAGAAAAGGTCAAACAAAACAAAGTTAGAAAATCAAACTCCTAATGAGCGAGAGAGTCACTAAAATAATCCAAACCAACAAAGTGTTACTTGTGAAAGTCTAAATGTGTGATTTATGCTATAAAAATACTAAAATACATTCAAGGAGTCAAGGTTCTTTATTTGTTGAACAATAAATTACAATAATAGTCCAGAGGAAATAAAACTTTTACAAAATCTGCATTTTAGTTATAGTGATGTTTCTGATTATAAAGCACAATTACAACTCAGCTCAGGTAACTGCAACTCTTTCCCGTGTGTCAGAAATATGGTTGCCATCTTATTTACTGCATGGGCTGCACACGCTGGTCCAAACCTTTATCTGTATGCACTGCAGGGCAGGATGTTTGAGTGCTGCATGACTAAGATTAGAGACGCGGTCTTCTCCCAGATACCCACACCCCATCATTCCCATGCACGCTCAGCTAAACCTCAACAACTTGTTAAAAGTTTAGCTTTTGATTACAACATTTCTGCTGAAATGTGTGCGTTTGTATAAAACAACTGCAATAATTACCTTAGTTGTTCCTGTTCAGTAAACATTTCTGCGCAGAACCAAAAAACATCCACAACATCAACGTCTGGTTGCTTTTTCAGAAGATTTCACGGGCCAACATTAAGGAAACACACACACAGCTCCTCACTGGAAAGGATTTTAATTAAGATATAACGCACTCCGTTACAGAAGTGGGTCATGTGGAGGAAAGTGTCGTGGCTAGTCTGAGCAGGTTCAAGACATCTTAAAACAACTCAAATCTGAAATGTTTAATTGCTGTTCAGAACAACACCATTTTATAAATATTTGCTTTATGTGGCTATTTGCACAGATCTATATGGTTATTTGTCAGCACATAGCATCAGCAGGAGCTAGCGTTAGCACTGCAGTTAACTAATGCTACACTAACAGTGGTGTAAAAGTTTCATTTCAACCACATGAAGTGCTATGAAGTGTTTTAGATTAGAGTTGTTTTATCCACATTGGTTTTGGCCCCTCTCAGACTATAGCTCCTTTATCTGGTAAACTTTATTTCTCTAAACTAAGATTCTTCAACGAGCTATCTACAACAGGCAAGATATTAGTTGTTCACAAACTTTAATCAGAACCGTTATGATGGAATTTTGTTACATCTAGTGCTGTGTTAAAGATCTCACAGTATTTTATTTTAATGCTGATAAAGCTTCAGCACACCGTAAACGCTAACGATGTTGATGTGCACCATTTCTCTGCTGGCTTTGGGTGATGTTCTCAGAATTCTGTGCACATTCGTCACTCCCATCCTTCGGCTCTACCGAAGTTCATATCTGTAGGTTTAGGCGATCTGTGCACATTTAGTAGCGAGCGCACAAACAGAAGTGAAACAAGAAGAGGAAATTCATGTAGGATTTATGAAAGTCCAAGCGTCCAATGCACAAGACATCAATGGTTGCCTCACCACAAAGACTTAGAAGCACTGTACCGGATGAAGTCTACGCGCTTTACCTCTTTTCCTTCTTCTTTGTCATTTACTGTATGACAGAAAGCACGTCTTAGACGTCCTGTCAGCAAAATGTTGTCACTTCAAACACACGGCATGCAAATTAATCTGACAACAAAGTTTGACAAACAGGATAAAAGTCATTTCCACAGTCTTTTTAATTTATGTTTAACTCTGATGAAACTTTTCTTGCAAATTTCATCTGAACTGCAGACAGCTTGAGATTAGCAGGCATAGATAACAGGAAATGATGCAACCAAGCACCACAGCAGCAGTTTGTAACCCTGCTGTGCCTTGTAGTGTTTAAAACATGCATTCATTAAAGCTTGAAAAATGAGACAGTAAAATAAATGTATGCAGCATTTACAAACGCTCAAGTCAGAGTTAGGTAGTAGATTGTTTTCTAAAGGAAATGATGTGTATTTAACATGCCTGCGGTTCTGTCAGGAGCCTTCATTCCAACAGTGTGGTCCGTTAAGTTGTGACGAAGCAGGCAATGAAGACACAAACAGGAAGTGAGGCACATCTCTGCAACAGCTTTCACACTAGTGATCAAAGTTCCTCAGCGGGCCAGAAGACCAACATTTGAACTGTGTGAAGTTGACGCTCCATCTCTCATTGAACACTAATGCTGGATATTTATATGTGGTATGAAATTAGAGTTATTTATTGGAATAAAAACTTGTATGTTTTAGATGCGTCTGCTGGGAGGATTAAGTCGTCTTTTCAGATTAAACATGTAAATATGTTCACACACATTCATAAAAACTAAGCCATTATTACGCCTCATCTCATCTCCTGGGTGGAATGATAAATGAGAGCGTGAGTCCAGGTCAGGCAGGCAGAAAGTCGTTCAGCTGCAGATCAAACCGCATCACCTCTGTAGTGCTGATCCTCCAATTCAGGGAATGAAAGGTAATCTTTTCTTGGTGTGGGTGGAAAAAAAAAAATCAATAGGTGGATAAAACAGTGGTTCAAGGTGACTTTAGTTGTTCGGAGTCCCCTGCTTTTTGTTGAAATAGTTTATCTTTATGTTGCGTTTAAATACTGTCGAGCTTTGACACACGTTTTTTGCCTCTCTTTTGTTTAGTTGGACTCACAGACATAAAAAAAAAACATTATTCTGATTGAAATTCTGCATTATCAACACAGAAAGAGATGAACAACTAGTTTTACATTAAGAATCTTGTTTTGTTTTACCGAGCCTCATGTAAACCTCCTGGATAATAATTATTTTTTACCTGACTGTATTTTTTGGAGTTTTTAACATCAGTTTTACTACCATGGATAAGGTCAAGCTGGCAATAGTTTCAGAAATCCACTAAAACAGACATCTTCCTGGTTCTTTTGGGGCTTGCTGTACTAAATGCTGCACTAACAGTTTTCTTGAGCTTTGCAGAGTCATAACATTCATATCTGCTCATGTCCAACTACAGGACTTAAAATAAAAGTGGCTTTTACTGTTGATAATTTTTATGTTGCCATATTAGGTGATGATATATTCTCATAATCTACTAAAATGCTGACCATTGGATTTAAATATACAGTAGCTTCTACCTGCTTTGATTTAGTGGCACAATGCCTTACTATACCACTTCATCCTCCCTCTACACCATAAAAACCTTTGCTACACCCCTGATCTTTGGCAAAAGGTGCAAATGGGCTCAAGACAGTTGCTAAGAGTGAAACGAGTGTCACGCTCACTACGTTGTTTGGTTTAAATGACGTGAAATGTGATGAGTGCAATCGTGCCCATTCCACTCTCGCATTGCATTTTCTTCAGATTTGATTTCCTGTTTCTTCTTCCTCAAAATCCAATTAATCTCAATTTCAGGGGTCTCAGTTTGAACACGCTAATAAAGATCCAAAGCTGAAGAAGAATGCCTTCCATTTGTAGAAACAAATGGTCTTCCAGGGAGTTCCAAACAGAACAGCTTTCCAGTTTACTGTCAAATACACCTTAAATGATAAACAAAGACCAAGACTCCGTTTCTAAATAAATCCTCATCCATGACTATTTTATCTTCCAGGTCTAGTTGGGAGCTTCCAGATCTGCGTGATGGTAAGATCCAGGCCATCAGCGACTCAGACGGAGTCAACTACCCGTGGTACGGCAACACAACAGAGACCTTCACTGTGGTAGGGCCCACCAAGAGAGAGAGCAAATTCACCGTTAGTATGAATGATAATTTTTATCCCAGCGTGACCTGGGGAGTCCCAGTCAGTGACAGCAACGTGCCTCTGCTTAGCAGTATCCACCGTGACCAGAGCTTTACTACCTGGCTGGTTGCCATCAATCAGGCCACCTCAGAGACAGTCGTCCTGCAGACAGTCCACTGGAGGATGCGTCTTTTCATTGAAGTCAACCCAGAGAAGCCACTGGGTCAAAGGGCTGTTTTAAAGGAACCAGTGACCCAGGAACAGCCTCAAAAACTGTACAAGAATGAGCTCATACCTCCCAACGCCATGGTCAAGCCCAACGCCAATGATGCCCAGGTGCTTATGTGGCGGCCAAAGAAAGGGGACCCTGTGGTGGTCATCCCACCCAAATACTCACCTGTTCCTGTCACCAGACTGGCCTCAAATACCTGATCAGTATCATCTCAGTTTTTATTTCCTTTCACTTTGCCCTTTTACAAAAATAATAATAATAATTTAACCAGCTTGCAGTGCTTTAAACAATTTTTGATATTTATTTACCACTTATTTTGCCTCCATAGTGTTCTCCGTGTTTTAAAAACCTTGACGGAAATGAGAAAGAGGCAAATGAGACCGCTGCAGAGGAGACGACCAGCTGTCGCTTTGAAAAACGGGGCTGGAACAAACTTTTAAACACGAGTGAATTCATTTGCAACCATTCTACCTTCAGCCGTTGGTCGGGTCTCACTGTGCTAAAAGCAAAAACTGGAACAGAAGTGTATTTGAGATTTGTTTTTAATTTTACTCTTTGGCTGCTGGAGCCAGTTGATGTGGAGTTTGAGTGTTGGAGAGTTTGAACAATGTACCGCTGCACAAACTGTGTGAACAAATACCAGAGGTATTTTATATATATATGTATTTATGTGCTGGAAAAGAGTGCATTTACTTCCTGTTTAATCTTGTTGAGTCATTTACATGACAAACTGCTGTGAGTCACAAAGTACATTTTAGTACTTAAAAACAAACAAAAAAAAAAAACATGCAAGACATCCGATCCATGCTGCCTTAAGTTTACATTGCTTCCCACTGCAAATGTTTTGCCTTAATCAAAGTACAATGCAGTATTTGATCAACTGTCCTGTTTCTTCCAGACTGTTGGTGCTGGCATGTGTGGGTTTAGGACTGGAACGATAGCACAACTGCAAATGCAGGGCTAAAATATACATTTTTATATTGACCTGCGTTTATTTTACTCTATTAAGCACAACAGCAATGTGTGTGGAAGCAGTTACACAATCAAACTAGCTGAGTTGCATTTGAAGTGCATTATGCAACAAAGGAGACTCTGTGAAGCCAACACTCATCTTTAGAACTAAAGAGAAAAAAAATAAACATCTGGAGAAAAATCATTTCAGAGCTGACCACATTTCAGACACTTTTTCTACTAATAGGTTGTTTTCTGTGTCACTCCATTAGGCCTGTCGCAATAAACAATGCATACTAAATCAATTAATCGCATGATAAATGAAAATTATCGAACTCATTCTCATTTATCGGCTTTATCATTTCTTCGTGTCTCTCTCTTTCTACTGAAGACACTGGATGACAAAAGGCTCAACTCCGGTGCTCTTCACGGACCCCTCCCGTTCTCTTTAAAATCAGTTTTAACCGTCCAAAACCGTGTTTTTGTATCATTATAAGCTGCGAAGCTAAGCTATGAGCTAAGCTAACAGGCCAACATTGGGAAAAAAAACTCCATCTTGTTGAAGCTCCAAAATTCACGGTTGAAACCCGCACCTTCCTGTAAAAAGATTTTCTCTGCAAAAAGAAGCTGAGAACTTGTTTACTGATTTGTTATTAAACGCTTTGTGTGAAAAATGCTACGCTAAAGAGCTCAAACCACACCGAGCTTCCGCCATTTTGAGAACCGAAGAGAGACAGCCCATGTCACGTCAAGGGGCCTCCCTCCCATTTTTCTTAAAGAGACACACTGCTCGCTCCCTCACCATCCATCCTTCAGTTCAAACAGTCTTATACTGCCATACAGTGGTCAAAAAAGGTACTACACAAAAACAAATTAACCAACATTTCTTCTTAATTTTGACAATAATTAATAATTATTGTCAAATTTCAAACAACATTATCGTTTATCACAATAATTTCTGAAGCAATTAATTGCCCAGCAAAATGTGTAATCGTGACAGGCCTACACTCCATATCAGCTTCTTTTTATGCCCCTCCTCTCTAATCCATCCTCCTTTTCTTGCTGCTACCAAAATTATTTGCATAATTTACACCAAACAATAATTTCGTCTATTACTAAGGTGTAAAATAGAGAAATAGCTAAATACATTATCTTAAGCTGCTTCCATTATTAACACCAATTTATTCAAAATAGAAAATAATTCTTTACCAATTTCTCCATTTTGTTGGTTCTTTTATTTTCAACAGCGCCCTTCTCACTCGCTCTCCCCTGCCTCCCCCGTCACTCCTCTCTTACTTGTATCCACTGTCGAGGCTGAAAGCAAAGCAGGAAGCGTGCGAGGTTAATGCTGCTCGGCTGGCATATAGATGACCCACTTCACTGCCAGTCGGAGCTCTCCCCCTGCATGTGGGGCTCTCCCTCCTCTATTTCACCGCCTGCGAGCTTCATGCAGGCGCACATGCATGAACAAGCAGCTAAATATCAACGCCCAACAACACGAAGCCCATATATCAGAGAACCGAGAGAACGAGGCAGAAAGAGGAGAGCAGAGTTTCTTCCCTCGCTGTGTGAAGCCAAACATTTAGATTGTGTGCAAAGATTTTTATTTTCAGATGATAAAACATTTGACTTCCATCCAAAGAAGTTAATGGCATAAACGCCTGATCCAGGATTAGTCAGCGCTTTCCGTTCCAGTCTATAGGCTTCTCCTTTTCATTAAATAGGAAACTTTGGCTATAATGTAGCGTGATAGTTTGGAAGCATTTGGGTGTAATTGATTCTTGTTGAGTTCACTAGTTTAGGCAACATTTTGGAAACTTATAACAAGCTGTGATGCTTTGATAGAGCTCATTTTTCATAAAGACCTTCAGGGAACGGCTCAACAGTCAGGGAAATAAGATATTTGCTGGGTGAAAGTGACAGAAGAAGATTAATACCTGCCTTATATCAGAACGATAAACTCAAAACTGCAGCCAGAAGTTAATTCAAACTGATATAAATCAGATACAAAATAAAATACACACCAGTTCTTGTAAATAGTTAAGGGATTTTATCCCGTTCTCCTAAAATATAGAGGATAATTGATCAGGAAGCTGGACCCATCCTCAGAAATTGAACATGTCTTTAAAATTGACTCTTTAAATGTGTTCTAGCACAGAGTCCATAAAGTCGTAGCTGACAAATCAGATTCCACTCGTGGCGTGGGGTAGATGAATATCTCAGCTCGCCGATGGTTACGATGCGCAGCCTCAGCCTGAGTCACATCGTGGTAAAGAGTGAGGGAGAAGCAAACAAAGAGGCAGTCATAATTAGACATGTGGTGACACACTTTTCAACGCTACCACTGGACTGAGCTGAGCTGAGCTAGCTGGAGTCAAACAGCAAAGAGGGCTAAAAGATGCACATGCAGGGGGGACGAATAAAAAGGTGACGACAAACACAGTCCTTTAAGGTATCGATGCCAATTAAAAATAATGCTGACGTGTTCTGTACGCAGCTGGAAAGCAGCCAAACGTTATTTGAATTTGCGGCGTGTTAAAGTATAAAGTATAACCTGTCACGGTCACTTCCTTGGTTCGACTGCTCTAAGTTGAGATCTTTGGTAACGCTCAGGACTCGCAGCCTCGCTCACACCGGCTCCACAGACACCGCCGCAAAGGTCACGTCCTCGTCATGAAGCGGGGGTCCAGCTCCTCCCCTCACAAACTCACAAACACCCCGAGGGGAAAGGAGCAGGCCCGGCGCCGTATCTGATTGTCGCAGCAGTGTCACGTTGGCAGCGTGAACTCGTTTATCACGTGGACCTGCTGAGCACATGCACTAACTATCAAAGCCATACGCACAAACGCACCTGTTGACTGACAGACTGGAGGTGAAGCGCAGCTCGACTGCTGGGCTGTTTTTTTTTTTTTATTTAAACCTAAAAATATTGAGGTTACAGAGAGTGTCAGCAGGTTTTTGCGTTAGGTTTTATTGTCACATTACTGGAAAATATACTTCCTGCTTTGTAAGCAACAGAAACACACAACTTTAAATGTTTGTTTTGTTTTTTTGATTTTATGGTGCCAATATAGGAATAAGCCAAAACTATGCAGAGAGAGACGCTGCTAGTCCTGTGAAGGGAAAAGTCTCGACACCTAACGAGGCCCGTTTCTGTCTGGTTAATCTCAACGCTTTTTATAATCCCAGAGGAACACTGCAGCTGGAACCATGTTTGTCGGGTTGTGCCAAGCTAACGGACACGTCCTCTCCTAAACCCACATCCTTACAGTTCTTCAGAGGGCGGCTATCTTCTTACTTTTGTCTTGTTTAATCTCATCAAGACGACTCACAGCTCACCTGGCCTCATTTCCTGGTTTTTACTTTAACGGCTGACATTAGGGTTCCTACATCTCGCCTTTTCTCTTATGTCAAAAAACATGCTTCATTGTTATAAATGTAAACCCCAAATGTAGCACAAGAGATGCAATTGAAAATGAGCAGAATGTGTTGTTTTTGTTTTCATTTTGACTCTAATACTTGAAAATGGATTGGTTCTGACAATGTAAAAAAAAAAAAAACTGTGAACAAAAAGCACAAGAGGGGAAATGGCCCCTGAAGAAAATATTTAAATAATCTTTTTTTCACAAAAGAATAAAATGTTCAAGTGTTCAGAGTTGTGTTTGTTTTTTTTCTTTTAAGCTGAGATGGGAAATAATTTGACAAAAACATTACTTCCTGGTTTTTACAGCAGGATTCATAACGACCTGATCAGAGCTCAGTGAATTAATCAAAACCAAGGATATTGTTTTAACCCTGCACACGTCTGGTGTGCTCCTTGGTCTTCCTGATGCTGTTTGATCACTGTTTTGTCACAAACCTCTGAGGCCTTCAGAGACCAGCTGGATTTATACAGAGATTAAACTACACCCAGGTTGTCTTTATTCATTAATAATCCCGAGGTATCAGAGTAAAGGGTCATGCTGAACTTTTCAGCTTTTAATTTGTAAAAACGTCCCAGTGCAGGTTGGAGTCCACCAGGGCTCCGATCCCGTTTGTGGTGATCATGGACAGGATCTCGAGATGCAGTCGTGGAGAGGAGGGCGTCTGGTTTGGGAACCTCAGGGTCTCATCTCTGCTTTATGTGGATGATGTGGTTCTGTTAGCACCTTCAGAGTGCACCCTCAAAGTCTGAGGCCATGGTTCTCTGCTGGAGACAGGTGGAATGCCCCCTCTGGTTTGGGGAGAGTTTGCCTTAGGTGGAGGAGTTCAAGTATCTGGGCGTCTGGTTTACAAGTGATGGAGCGAGAGATGGATGGACAGATTGGGGAGATCCTGGA